ACTACACCCACCCATCTAACCTCCACCCCCATTCACAACACCCACACTACACCCACACTGCACCCACCCATCTAACCACCGTCTTCCATTCACAACACCCACATTACACCCTATCTGTTCATATTATGTTTTACAATTAGCTGTGGAACAACGCTCACGCCCGCGAAGATGTCCAGGTTGCAGTGAAGAAGAGTCTTCAGGCGCTGGGGATGGAATATATTGATCTCTTCCTCGTTCACTGGCCGGTGGCTTATAAGGTATGGACAGATTATATTTACAGACGGACAGACAGGTAGACAAACTGGCTAACAAACGAACTGACAGACAGACCGACTAACAGACAGAGAGACAGACAGCATAGAAACAGATGGTCAGAAATATCGCCATAGAGAAAGAAAGAAAAAAAAGAAAGGACAAATCGCAGAAAGGTAGACAAGCACAGGAAAGAACAAGCAGTAAGACTAGCAAATATGTACACAGAAATGTAGTAAGGAAATAGGATAAACAACAGACCGTATGGACAAAAGTTGTTGCCACAGCCTTACTTCCACTCTTCCTATTTCGTAATTAATTTAGTAATTCAACGTTTTAAAAAAATCTAAATACATCGTTTTAACTTACGTTTAGAGCGGCGAGGAATGCCACCCCAAGGACGCAGATGGGAAAATAGCCGTTGCGGACGATGACGAACATGATTACCTTGAGACATGGAAAGTTAGTACCCCCTCCCGATCTTTCTCGACTAAAATGTATTAATATTTGCTCTCTCTCTCTCTCTCTCTCTCTCTCTCTCTCTCTCTCTCTCTTTCATTTGGACTCTTAGAATTTAAAGAGAATGAGACTGCCTATAGAGAAGAAAGTTGATATATTTAGTTTTGTATTTTTTACTCCAGGGTATGGAAGACATACTGGAAGCAGGGTTAGTCAAAGCTATCGGCGTCTCCAATTATAACATAGATCAAATGCGCCGACAGGTGGAGAATTGCAGGATAAAGCCAGCTGTCTTAGAGGTGGGCATGTTTGTGACGATTTTAGAGTACGCATCCGTGTGCGCGTGCAAATACCGTTATATATATTAAGTGTGTGTCTGCATGTGCGTTATTCTCTCCCACTATCCAATCAGACTATGCGTGCACGCGTGCGTTTGTGTCTTACGCGACGATCTTGAGTACGTGTCCGTGTCCGTGTGCGCGTGGAAATACCGTTATTTGTTTCCCTGCATGCGCGTTATTTCCTCCTCCCTCTCTCTCAAACTATGCGTTCTGGTGCACGTTTGTGTCCTACGTAAGCGTATATGTGTGTCAACATGTGCATTATTCTTTCTCTAAAAATCCACTTTTTTCTCTCACCCTCTCTCTCTCTCTTTCTCTCTCTCTCTCTCTCTCTTTCTCTCTCTCTCTTTCTCTCTCAAAGTATCCGTGTGTGTATGCCCGCGTGTGTGCGTGCGCAAATAAACTTGCAAAGTTGATTTTTTTGTCTAAAACATCTTTTTGTTTGGTATCAATTGGGTTTTCGTTTTTTTCTAAGATCGAAACACACCCATTCATGGCCAATGGGGAACTGGTGGATTTCTGTCAGACTCATGGGATAGCCGTGATCGGGTATAGCCCCCTGGGGAAGCCCGGACGCTCTTGGTAGGCGAAACGAGTGGACTTTGTCCAAATACAGGACTCTGGGTGATAGAAAAATTGTCACCTCAATTTAATGGCTTTTATTCGCATTTCAGTATGAATTGGAAAACGCCCAAAATCGCCCAGCAAAGCTGTGTTAGATTTAGTAGAATTAACATTCAGAATCGGCTCATTGCATTGCATGTTCACATTATTAATCGGTGACTTTTCATTTAATTTTTGTCCCGGAACTTCATAACTGTACATTGATATCACAGTCGCCAAGTCTCTCCGTTGTTAAGGCCTTCTCCCATTATTTACAGGTGTTATTCTATTGTTATTTTAAAATACTTTAGACAATAGATCTTTGTATTTTGCTCTGCCATATCTGGATTTAAAGTTCGCCCGGAAAGTGTATTCTAGTAATTTAGACCGACATGCATTGTTGCAGACACAATATGTCAAGGCAAGGGGCAAGGCGTTTGTGTACTTCCATCAATTCTTTAAATGGCACAGCTCGTCTGCTAATATTGTATACGACTCGACCACTACCCGTAGCAATATTTACCTCATATACGCTGCATATATCACAAAATATGTCTTTTACATTGTGCATTAATATTTGTTAGACTAATACGCTTACTTATTTTTGTTTTGACTCATACGTTTAATTTTTGTTATTCAAGTAAGAAATTATTTACTCATTTTTAGGAAAACGGAAGGAGACCCGGATATTTTCACCAACGAAACCATAGCAACCATTGGGAAGAAATACAACAAGTCTCCTGCACAGGTAAACAAACCCCGTTTAGTCTACACGACAGTACCTCACTGGCGTGCCTGGAATTTACTATTTCGCATGCATTGTACACCTTTAAAATTAATGAAGTTTTTTTTTTTTTTTTAATTTTAACATATATAAGTACATAACAAAAACCTACGGTAACGTACACTGTATATTCCTTTTTGGGTTTAGAAGAAGAATCATTTTTTTTATTATGCATGGTTACAGGAGAGTGAAACTTTGATACAAACTTCATCATGAACAGTGTAGGACACTAAAATAATCAAACATAAGTTTTTAAGAGCATTTGACCTGATTTGCACCTCTGTATTGGGTTTTGGGGGTTTAATTGTAATTCATATGTCTGCCTATAGGTGGCGCTTCGGTACCAAGTCCAGCGACAGGTTTGTCCTGTGCCCAAAACTAAGACCTTGTCACGACTGAAAGAAAATATAGATGTACGTATTGTATAGAGGTTTGATTTCTTTTACCTTTTTTGTCCTTTTCTTTATTCGATTGAGAAGACCTTGAAGATGTTTAAGGTTTGCTCGGTGTCTTTGTGAAAATTCAATTTATATTTCCAGTTTGGCTCAAGTTATGTGAAAGCTAAAAACTAAATCAATAAAAATTGGGTCAACATAGGCTCAAGATTAACTCTATTTCCCTTTTGTCTGTTAATCTGGTTAGCCCCCGAAAGTCCCCTCATTTGTAACGTCCCCTGCCTTAAATACTTTAACACCAGTATTGCAATAATCCCTCTCTCAAAACCCACTTTATTATCTCACCCTTTCTTTCTTTATCTTTCTCAAGCGTTTTGTATTGTTGAAGGCGTGTAATTTCATACACAAACAACCAATTGTTTATTTATTTATTCATTTATTTATTTATTTATTTATTGTCACAGATATTTGACTTCGAGCTCTCTGGAGATGACATGAAAAAGCTTGAGAAACTTAACCAGAACTTCAGGGTGTTATGGCTGGAGAGGTCAGTTAGCGGTTGATTAGTTTAATACAATATTTGACAAACTAAACTAGAACTTCAGGGTGTTGTGGCTGGAGAGGTCAGTTAACGGTTGATAAGTTTAACACAATAAACTTATTACTTGACTGAAACATTATTATCTATTAAAGCTAATTTAGTTTGTCCTTGAAAAAAATACTTTTGGGCGATGTTTGTTGGTGCCAATAGTGTTACAGGGAAATATAACGTATTTCGATCTATTGGCAAATTCAATTTTACGTCATTAATTGGATTTTGTTGTTTAATACCGCTGATTCATGACTTGGTTACAACAAATAAATTCATAAATTCATCAGTCACTTAGTTTGTACAGTTTTTATACCATTTTCCTAAAAACAAAGCCTAGAGTGTTATTTGTGAATATAAATTTTAATTGAAGAAACTTGACCAATTTTATCCTTTTACAACAGGATGTGTATAACTGATACTGTTCTTTATTTTTCAGTCTAAAACACAGCAAAAATTATCCATTCCATTCGTAAATACAGGACTAGGAGGTGTATCATGCTGAATTAAGTATCGTGAACGGTGAATCATCCCTCATATTCGTCAGACAAACGTCCAATATACCGGTGATACCTTGCAGTTTATTTTATTTTATTATTTTTATTTATTTATTTATTTATTTTTTGTCTTGAAAAAGGGGGCAAACTCGANGGGGGGGAGGGAATAAGTACACATGGTGTGCAACCAATATCGGCTTGTTTTCCCATTCCCCATGCTTGTTGGGGGATTATGATGAACTTCTGATAGGTATAACGGGACTATACATGAACTTTTAGGAAGAAAACTATGCAGCACAATGAAATCGCAGAAACCCGCTGTACCACCATAGCCCCGGTTTAAAAAAAAAAAGCATAAGTCAGGGGTTCTTTGGCTACTTACCAACGTTACATGGTCACATGTGCATATTTTACCATATCAGGAGTAGTGTAGCAGGACTCTCATGAAAATCCTAGTCAATTAAGCCAGGGAACTGACTTTGATTTGTATTTATTTATTTTATTTATTATTTTTTTTCTGTGTGAAACTTGGGACTGTTTTTGGTGCTTTGATTAAAAATAAAGGTTTTCTTGTCATCAGTTCAAGTTTTTTAAAGTGATCACTGGGGAACACACACACACACACTGGACAATACAAGTGTTACCCTTTCTGAACCAATACTTTGGGGGAGATAAATGACTGTGGACTGATATGCACCTGGTATCATTTTATTAACATCAAATTTCACATAAAGATCAACAGTACAAGTCCATGGTACAGTGGTTTTATACTCATTAGTCACATTATAAGTAGAGCAGATTCAAGGGGTTTAATTTCTAATTGTCCAGTGTGTGTAGTATGTGTTTTGGTGCAATACAAGGCTCAAAATCGAAAGCTAAATTGTAGAATACACTTCTCACGAGATAATTATGTATATTTCACTAGCGAAAAAACAAGATTTTACCAAGAAGTGTGGGAAGGGGGCAATATTAGAAGCTTGATTTGGTGAGATTCATACTGTCATTCGAAATAAAATTATTTGTTGCAAAATACCTGTATGTGTGAGATAATACACTGTCACCTGAGCGATATATGCCATAACACCTCGAGCGTCAGCGAGCATGTGTTCATGGCATACATCGCGAGAGGGTGACAGCTAGTGTATTATTTGACATACAAAGCGAGAAAAAATACAGTCATTTCATCCTAAAACACCCCTAAAACCGAATAAAGTGACCCAATATCACGCTCTAGAGATGTTATACGGAATAAACTCGTCCACGTGCGCTGGTCACCTCCCGCCAAATTCTTACGTAATGTCTGACCAATTTGGTCAATTTTTGCTAAATACTTGTCGTGGACGTTCAACTGGCTTGAGAAGTATTTAATCAACCGTCGACACTGACCATGCACGTCTCAGCTGAGCCACACCTAGCTGGGACTGCTGCGGAAACAAGGTCCCAAGGCAAAACCTATCCTTTTTAGTGACATTTCTGATAAATAAGGAGCGTCGGACCGGAATATAGTCAAACTAATTTTCATAGGTGCAAAGGAGAAAGAAATTTACTTTTTGGTGATATTTCTGACAACGAGGCAGTTTCGGAATATATTCAAAATCGACGGATGTTTATTACAAGTTCACGGGAGTAATAATTCTAGTTTTTTATTGTTATTTCTGACGACGAGGCGGTTACGGAATATAGCCAAAATCAAACGGATGTTTATTTAAAGTCCACAGGAGTAATAATTCTACGTTTTGGTGACATTTTTTTACTACGAGACGGGTTCGGAATATACATGTGCTGGTTTTCAGAGGATTCATGTGCTACATGTTATTACAAGTCCAAAGGGGGAATACATTTGATTTTTACCGATATATCTGATAAAGAGGAAGAATGAACAGCTTAAAAACAAAAAGTAAATAACACAACCCTCGTTAAAAAGTTATAGATTTACAAATAATTTGTATGCACGTGTGGCTTTAATATAAACTAATTCCCGTTTTCAAACCATACCCACATGATATTACTTAGTGTAATAAAGTGATAAATAATAATTGTTAAACGTGAAAAGTTGTTTAACGTGAAAAGTATGCTAATTTTTTAAGAGCGTGAGAGATTTTAAATTTGTCTACTGGTAGGTATATAACGCAAGCAACGTCACTATTCTCTTGATGCCAAGAAGGTCACATGATCACTGTCTTTGGCGTCTTTGGCTTTCAGCATTTAAGAGACCTCGACTGATTTAACCAAGATGTAGTCTTAAAATTCTAGACTACATCGAGCTTAATTAAATCCGAGTTTTCCGAGAGACGCTACGCAGAAATGTCGAGTGAAGCTAGACATTTTTGGGTAGCGGCTCGAGGTTGCCCTCGATCTTCACTGAAGCTTGCCTTAATTGACAGGCTTCAGTGATCATCATATCGCCACGGTCATATAACATCCCTAGGTATGTTTATCGAATATATGTATGCAATGTTGTCTTTAATAAGCCAATGCATGAAGCGCAAATATCACACGTGGCAAGAAAAAGACAAACATAGTGACAAATACGTACATTAAGCTCGATCAGAAGGATCGATTACATTATCTGTGAATCCGTCTACATGAATTTCTAGGTACAAAAACAAAAAGTATTGGACTGGAAGAGAGTAACGATTGCCCCTATCGAAAACAAGCTGTCATCTTATGCAGTAATCCATAAAATGCTGCGTATTGACAGAACACACTATCCAATATACCATCATCCCTTAAGTGCATTTAATTTAATTGGATGCATATGAGTTATGTGTGGCGTTCATTAAGCTAAAACATAAGACCTCTAGTTTGTGTACTGGGGTATTTATAGGTAAATTTGTGATGATAAATATGAAGCACTCATATAGAAATGTATGTTGCATTGTCTGATAAATGAGATACTACGGCATATGTAGCCCTAAGTGCACAGTAAAAATGAATGTATTCATGTTGATAATGTGAATGTATAATGTGTACTTTACATATGAATTTCTGTTAAACTTAAGTTATGAATTTCAGGGAGGAACTGCACAGATTAGAGAACAACAGCTTTCAAATACAGAGGAAATAAATAAATAAGTTAAGGGCCTAAAACAAATAAAGACGGACAGAAAATACATGTAGGTCACATGTACAGTAACATGATAAAAAATAAGATGCGCATCTTTCCTGAATATAGTGAGCATAAAGTCGAGGGAATACTTCTTTTAATTGGAGGTTACTTTGCAGAGTGCAACAAGCAATTGTGATGACAACATGTCATCCTTTTCAATATCTTTCTGTTCAGGGAGTGATTTCTATAGATTGTTTCGTCAGTAATGTAATGCAGCAGCCATAGTTATACCTCTCTATCTATAAACACACCCGCTTTTCCTTGATCGAGTTTACTTCATCTATACAGTTTTTTAATAACGGCGTTTCACAATCTGCTGCAAATGGAAAATGCAATATTGAATAATACTGCATCCACGATATTCAATTTTTCAGCAGGGTGAGTATGCAAAAGTCGTTTTTACAAATTCTGTCCAATGTTTATTGTATTTTTGGAAGTTCTGTCATAAAATATGATTCTGGTCAAACAAAATATCAGAATTTCATTTCTATAGTGAACTTAAAAACCACGTATCAATGCTTCATAATTTTTTATTAAAATATAGAAAAATAACCTATGATAAACGCTGGTAAATGTCACCGATTTTTTTCTGTGGTGTTACATTCTCTTCCTCCCCGCTTTCATTGTCAACAGGGTGCCAGGTTGCTTTTTCGGACTCGGTGTCACACTCAGTTTAGTGCTTTGTTACTTTTTTAAAGCTTTGGGTAGACCTACTGACCAATTTGGCTGAATTCAAGGTAAATGATACATATTTCATGCTATAATGGCATTTTTAAGATTTTAGGGATACCATACAGATTTTTCCTCTTTTTTTTTTTTTTTTTTTTTTTTTTTGCAGAAAGCGTTATCTTTATATTTTAACATTAAAATATATTCCCATCATATCTAAAAAAATTTTAAAAAAATATGAAAATTAACTCATCACGTGTCAAATTTATGTTTAGAAGTTATTTTCTTTATGGCTTATTATATGATTCTCAACATTTGGCTGCCACGCCTGCCGAATCAGCTATCGGGCAAAGATAATTACCCCCTAACAGTTTGACTAGGCGTGACAGATATTTAAACCGGTTTGGTTGATAGCAAAGTACTGAGACTCCCCAGTGAGATAGATCGATACAAATATCCGTGGGAATGGTCCCTAGCTTATATGTCGTACCCGTGTGCGCTATGTTATCACCAAAAGGTCATAGGACGGCAAGTATTACAATAAAATTCTGGTTGCCATCTGGATATTTATTCAATTCATTTCCATTTCTGTATAATTATTAAGAAGTGATGATAATAGTGTATCCCTGCGTGGATGAGCATAGTTTAATACTTAAATTATTCTTATAATTTTGTACTAGTTAGAGAGCCTGTAAATGTAAACCATTTCTTTGAGCTGAAAAAATTATTATTATTATTATTATTATTATTATTATTATTATTATTATTATTATTATTGGAAAATTATTAAAAACCCTCAAATACGATCTTGAAAATCAATTATAAATAAGATTCTCTATGTGGCTGTCAAGCACCAAAAAACAAAGACTCATTGTTGACGTTGTAAAAGAAATCCTCGGCTGCTTTTATGAACTCTTGTTGGTCGATGCAACCATTTTGGTTTTCATCGATGTAACTAAAAGACTGGTTGATGCCCTTTCGTACGTTATATACTTGACAGAACGCTTTGTGTTCTTTGACGCTCATCCCTTCATCTCCATCGGCATCTGCTGCTTTAAATACCCCCTTATCCCATAAAACGCTTGATGGTTCTTCGAGTTCCCTGCCTTCTAATCCACGCAGGTGTATCCAAATGGCGTTCTCTATGTCTACGTTTTTTCTGCATCTGTCTTCTGGAACGGACCAGAAGGTAAACCAGCCTTTGGATAGAGTCTCATTGAAAACATTTATCTTGTCGGCCCCAAAATAAATTCTAGCTCTTTCAACAGTCCTGTCAACATAGTCACGGCGG